TGGCATCATGAGGGTCCAGGTGAGGGCGCGTTTGGAAGAGTAGGAGAAAAGGGGGAGAGAAGAGGAAAAAAAAAAAAAAAAAAAAAATGTCGCGAATCTAATCGTGACACAGGGCCAGATGCAGGGGTAGAAGCATCTGGACCTTGAGTTGACAGCAGACTGTTGAACTTTAACAATCTGCTCCATTTGACTCTATACAACCATTTAGGGTTGCATCTGGTCGGGGGTAGCGGCCAGATGCATTACCAAGGCATGAAACTTGGTTCCCCTAGGGGGACATCAAGTTTTTCAGCCCGTGATCGTGGTTGGGATCAAGGGTCCGGCCTCATTCCGAGTTTTGGCTGGGGGCAAAGCAACAGCCCTTAGCCTCCAGCCAGCTATAAAACAGCCAGCAGCCAGCCAGCCAGCCAGCATTCATTTGTGGTTGGTGCTGCTAGCATTTTGCTTGGGTGAATGTTTGCTGCTGGAGGAGGACTTGCTGGTGGAGTAAGAGGGAGCTAAGTGGAGGTCTGCAAATGAGGGAGGAGGATTGATGGAGGTGGCCATAGCTGTGAAACACAACCATAGCCGCCTTCTCAGCACGGTGAGGAGTGGAGAGGCTGCCATATAGCCACCGTGTTGCGGGGTGCCAACAGGAGGTGTTGCTATTCGTGGCAGGTTTTTCGGCAAGCGGTGCAGGGGAAACTCTGCCCGTTTTGCACGGCGGTGGCAAGTCTTCGACAAGCGGTACAGAGGAAACTCTGGCCGTTTTGCACGGCGGCGGCGAGTCTTCGGCTAGCGGTGCAGGGGAGACTCTGCCTGTTTGACACGGCAACGACGAGGCTTTTGACAGTGACGCATGTGCGCTGCTGTTTTTTTTTGCAGAGGCGGCACTGAGATTTTGGTAATGACGGGGGAGTGCTGCCAAAATCTTCCAGCGTCCACAGTGTTTTTTTTTGGCAGCGGTAGTGCGGAAGCGCTGCCGAAATTTTGCGGCGACAACGCCGGGATTGACGGCGGTGGTGCGGAAGCGCTGCCAAAGTTTTGCGGCAACAGTGTCGGATTTGAAGGCGGTGGCACGGAAACACTGCTCGTTTTGCCTTAACTGTGAAGGACATTTTTTTGTAACGTGTTCTGGTATTGACCGTAAAGGTGTGGTGGTGCGGTTGGTGTGAAGGCAACGCTGAGACGCCGTCAGATTACTGGGAGGTGATTGTGTGTTGAGAGGGTGTAGCGGCAAGTGATCGCTCTAGGGAGTGGTGTGGATCGCTTTGCGGGCGACTTGTTGTGGCGATTGTCTTCTCTAGAGTGTGATTCTACGCGGTCTTCTTGAGTGGGCCGTCTCTCCAACTTCACTCAAGGTCAGTTTGACTCAGACCCCTTCACACATGTGTGAACCCGCACTTTGCTTGACCCTATTCTTTGGATGTTCACTGAAAAGGTAGAGGAAATGTGTGTTTGCGCGTGTGAATGGAAGTCTGACGTGAGTTTGAACTTGTATTGTTTTCTTTGAAACTTGTTGTTTGATGAGATGTGCAGGTAGGTAAAAGGATGCCTGAAAAAAAAGAACATATTCATGTTAATGAAAGTGATTGGGAGAATGGTTGTCTTCTATTTCTCGCTTGCATGTATGTTGAAGAGAAAGACAACCAGTAAACGACGAAAAGAAATTTGATCACAGAAGGAAGAAGAAATCAATTGGACATAGATTTTTCCCGAGGTTACTCATTCTTTCCCGAGTGACCCTCTTTGTCTATGCCATATATCTGAATAATTTTCTTATCTGTAATTTCCTTTTTCGTCTAAGTTACCCTTGACATCAGGCGACGAGGGATCGTTTGCCGTCATGATAGACGTGTTTCTCTTTCCTAGGAGGCATCTGAGGCGAGGGTTTGTTGCCCTGGGCCGACCCTGCTATCGACTCGGAGTTGACCGCTTATACGGGGGGATACCATGTTGTTGTGGTGGAGCCAGCCCGACTTCTAAGATCCGAGGTTCGTTCGGGCGAGGATGAGGGGTGTCCTAGACCACCTCCTTGGCATACGTCTATTCACGAAAGGGCCTTAAGATTCTTGATGCCTCGTGTTAAGGCGAGCAGCCACAACATACCCTTTAGTAGTGGTCATTTTAGGGGTCACTCGTACATGGAGAATTGAGGCACAAGAAACTCGGTTCATGATACTAGATGAAACAGAGCGCGGTTAGACACTCTTGTCGTGGTTGGCCTCGCTACAAGAAACGAGGACCAATGTGGTCGATGTAGTGAGCAAGGCTTGGATAGTTAGAGTTCGAGAATAACCCTTTTCAGAAGGGTCAACGAGGGCCAGGAGGACAAAGCAACCAACAAAATATGAAAGCGGATCCTCGTTCTTAATGGGGCATCTAGTGTTCGGTTGTTAAAGTTGGGTGCTGACTCGTATAGCGGTAGCCGGATTACTTGCAGATGACATTCACACCAAAGTTAGAAAAGTGCTGGTATCCCAGTTCTAGTTGAGAGTTGAGAGATGTCTGCGTTTCTCTTCTAGCAGTCAGTATGGGGCGGAATGAAATAACTTGGCAACGCATCTCATCGAGTCGAAAAAATCGTGACAGCCCAACCATTTGGCAAACAACGTAGAGATATTTTGGTCAGACGCCATTTGAGCGTCGTTATGCATGTAAGTCATGTTTTTTTTATCCTTTTGTTAATAAGTGAGGTTTGAAGATGAGTCAACTCATGCTGTCTCGTCGTTGGATGGAAGTCAAGTCAACCTTTTGTCGATTTGATCTGAACGAGTGATATGCATGATTGTATCGATTTCAGAAGATGAGTCAACTTACGTTGACCTGAGTCTTCTTTTGGAAGGGGTTTTGTCTGAGTAACTTTTGACTGTCCTTGGAAGAAGGGACTAGGATCGCTAGGAGTTTTCCTTACGCTTGGAATTTCACGTCTTGGTCGACCAGCGTACGTTCCGATTCCTGGGAGTTCAGCGTCCCAGGGACAGACGACGTTCGGGTTCACTTTGGCGTTCAACCATGCGTAGCTATGCTACGTCGAACGAGCAAACGCCCTCGGCCGACCTACCTCTGCAATTGCATTATAAAAGCCTTCGCATGTGGGTCGGTAACTCGGCGGGGATCCGCCCCTAAGGGTGGTGACAGCCCCTTAGGGAAGGTAAGTTGTGCCCCGCGGGAACCTATCCTGTCGTAAGGGACCGCCGGATGTACAGCTGGCGCACTCGGCCGGAGCGGCGAAGGGTCGACACGGGTTACCGTGTCGTCCCTGGTTGTCTCTAAAAAGTTGAAAGCCTATGTTTTTCCTGCGTGACGCAGCCGGGAGGGCCCTCGCTCGTGCGGGGGCCGATACGCTCGATAGCGGTTACCGCATTGAATTTCTTCCTTTTCTCTGGACTAGGCCTGGACATCAAGGTTTCGACAAGGTCCCACTTGGTTTTGGAAAATTTGGGCGAGTGGTAATCAGTTTGCTCCATTCACGACCTATGCATGTCATCCTTACGCATGGACCATGCTAATCTTCTCTGTATCGTTCGAATTCTCCCGTTGGAAGGGAAGGGAAGGGAAGGGAAGTTGGTCATTTAACTGCGGTTCGACAACTTTTGTTTGGAGACTTTTTCTCTTTTTAAAAAACAACTTAGCTAACGTTCTTCTCTCAATTTCATCTTTCACTATCTACCTACCACTACTCCAAAGCCTATACAGGGGACCCCTGCAAGACTTCTACTCGTGGTAGTGCTGGAAAATAGGCCAAACATTAGGCCGGGACGAGAGTATGGCCTCCCTGGGGCCAAGTCCCACTTACCCGAATTCTCGATTTGTAGCCCTCGAAGGTCGACGGCAGAAATGGAAAATCCAAGCTTGTGGGACTTGGCCCCAGGGAGAAATCTGCATTAGACTGTATTTTTCAAACATAGTATAGTCCTGTTTGATGCATAGTTCAGCTTCATGGTACTGGGCCCAGTAGTTCCGGTCCGGGTAGAATTGCGAGGTTCCCCGGGGCTAAGTCCCACTAGGGGGGGTTTCGAGTCGCA